TTTCTTTTCTTTTCTTTTCTTTTCTTTTCTTTTCTTTTCTTTTCTTTTCATAGAAACAGGGTCTTGCCATGTTGCCTAGGCTGGTCTCAAACTCGTGGCCTCAAGCTATCCTCCTGCATCAGCCTCCCAAGATGCTGGGATTACAGATGTGAGGGTGTATATTACAGTAAGGAATTATATTTGTTTGCATGTAAGAGAGCCCTTACTGTAGTGGTTAATTCACATGGGGTTTTCTTTTTCTCCTGTAAATCACAAATGCTGAGGTGGGGAGTCCTGACTGGGAATGCAGCTTGAAAAAGACTTCAGGGACAAGTTTTCTTTTCTTTCTGTCCATCATCTTATGTATTTGACTTTAATCTTCATGTTTATTGTCTAGGAGTCATATGACGCTTGTCCTACCTTCAATCATTTTCTAGGCAGGAAAAAAGGACAAAAACCTATGCCTGCTAAGTTTGTCCCCTTTAAAGAGTATCTCTAGAAGCCCCATCCAAGGACTTCTAGTTACATCTTCTTGGATAGATTGGGTCATTAGTCAATGTAATATTAGTAGCTGGACACATTGCTACCTTGAATATAATTTGAATTATTTTAATAAGGGAGAAAATGAATACGAAGAAGCAACTACCAGTGACTATCACAATTTTTAAGAGTTCATTGTAAATTAAAGCTAATTAGCCCCTTTTCTATCACTTATATTGTGCATCAGCCTCCCAAAATGCTGGGATTACAGATGTGAGAGTGTATGTTATAGTTAGGAATGATATTTGGCCGTGTGTAAGAGAACCGTTACTGCAGTTATTAATTCACATGGGGTTTTCTTTGTGGGTTAATAAGTTTTCATGTAGACATTGTAAATTTTTTGTAGTTAAATCTATCAATCTATCAGTTTTTCTTTGTTTCTTTTGTGATCCTGTAACAATCTGTTCAATTGTTTTTGCTATATTTTTGAAAACATCTGCATCAGGGGTCTCAGGCCCAAGGAAGGAATCTCACCCAAAATATGTTTAAAACACTGGCATAGTGTTGTTATTTTTTTAATTTTTGAATTTGAATAACTTTAGGTAGAGCATATACTCCAGTTGTATTACAACCACCACTATTCTCAGTTGGCTTATAAAGATCCACCTAGTTTACTTGTTTCTGTTACGTGACTGGCCTATAGGTATTTGAATTTAGACAGGTTCAGATATTGTTAGAATGATTTCAAAAGCACCAAAACCTGGGTATCTAACTTGTGTGTGGTCCATGGCACTAATGTGAGAGAAATAGCAAACTGTTTACCCATTGCTGCCATCATCTAATTGTTATCAGGTGTCAGTAAGCTCGCATTAATTTGTCATAGAAACTGAATTGACTGTTTGATGTACTTATCTTTGTATTTAAATGTTTCATTTAGTCTGCTTGTTAGAGATTCAGTTATAATGGCAACAATTTTTCCTGGTGTTTGAATAAGTTAATGTATAAAACTAATATCAGACTTTATTACCTATGTGGAAAATCAGTATTTGTATGTGTTTACTAAAATTCCTTAGTGTGATATTAAGGTGTGAATTTTAAAGACATTATTCATCTAGAAACAATTACATATTTATCAGAGTGCCTACTGTTTCTCATAGTTAAAAGCCAATCATAATGAAAGAAACATAATGACTCCTATTTCTCAATGAAAAATGTAGATAGAATATCATGATTTGTCATAGACACTTTTTTAGTGTCTTTTTTTTTCTTAACAGACTTTGCTTCGCCCTCTTCAAGCTTTATGCTCTTTTCAACTTCAGCATGGTGCCCAAATTCGCCTCAGCAAGGAACACCTTCTGAAAAATGGATTATATCCTAAACCAATGCCAAAGAACAAACGCAAACTCAGGAAAATGGAATTGTTAATGAATAGCGTTAAAATTTAGTACAGTTATTCTTTTGGTGCTAGCTTACCTGTCTTCATCTAACAATACCAAGTTAAGTTTTCATATAGTTTAGGTCTGTAGGTTTTTGACTTGCTGAAGAAGGATGAGAATTGCATACTAATCTTACCCAGAAGAAGGAAGTAAACCAAATATTCATAAAAACAAATAAACAAAAATTCACTGGCTCACTGAAAAGCAGGATTTCATATTGTACTTGTTTTTAAAAATGTGCCTCTAATACATGTTTTCAAACCCAAAATTAAAATGTGATTCGTTGTTGAGATGGGTTAGAAATTCTTACTTGTAAAATAGAAGGAAATTGTCGTAGTGGATTGGAACGGTGTTGTTTCCATTAGTGTTTATACATAATTAGGTGTAGACCAATAATGTAAGATACCTACATTGGTTTGCAGTCGTAACTGTATAGTTTGAAGTAAGTAGCAAAAGAAAATATAATTACCAAGTTTTATTATTTTGTAAAATAGTATAAAGGAATAAGGAAACTTTAAATATTATTTAGGGGCTAAATTTGAACTCAGCTAATACGATTTAAGTGCTCTATTAATTGCCCTGATTTTTAAAGAGGTGCATGTAATTTTGAAATAGCACACATTTTCATTTGTAATCACTCTGGATAAATTTGTATTTTTCAATGTTCATTGAACAGGCTGATTGACTTTGGTAAACTTATTTTATTGATGTTTTCATATGGAAAATAATAAGTGGAATATGATACAACTGTTATTTTCGGAACATATTTCTTTAGGGCTATTTAAGATAACATTTTTAATGGGCAAAAACTTTCAATTTGAGAGAAAAAATTCCTCCTGCTTTGTGGAAAAATATTTGCTGGGATTTTGTATGGAATAAGAGACATGTATGTAACATATATTTATATGCAGCCTAAGTCTACTGCAATTATGTACACATCTTGGCAAGAAGAGGGGATTTTGTTTAGTCTTTGTTTATGACTTCTAGAGTTTCTGTATCTGGTGTTAAGTTGTAAGGAAAAACTAAACATGCAATTTAAAGGTAAACTTGGTAACTATTTATAGAGCATATACCAATGATTATTTCCCACAGTTTTCATGCTCGTTTGTTTATTACTTACTTGGATTAGAATCATTAAAAGCTATAATGCTGGTCACAATTAGAATGCTAATATTTGGGGAAACTATGCAGAAAATATTTTGAAGTATTAAAAGTTAGAGTGCTAGCTTCTATTGTTGATTTATTTTTGGATTTAAAAACAAATTAGGGCTGGGCCTGTTTGCTCACACCTGTAATCCCAGCACTTTGGGAGGCTGAGATGTGAGAATTGCTTGAGCCCAGGAGTTTGAGACTAGCTTTGGCAATATGGAGAGACCCCATCTCCATACAAAATTTCTTAAAAAAATAATTAGCTGGATGTGGTGGTGTGTACCTGTAGTCCTAGCTACTTAGGAGGCTGAGGTGGGAGGATCACTTGAGTGTAGGAGATGAAGGCTGCGAGGAGCTATGTTCATTCTACTGTACTGCAGCCTGGGCTACAGAGTGAGACCTGTCTAAAATAAATAAATGAATGAATGAATGAATGAATGAATGAATGCCTGGGCTACAGAGTGAGACCTATCTAAAATAAATAAATAAATAAACAAACAAACTGATTTACAATGTAAAGCACCTAATATCAAATGATTATTTGGTGTACTGGAAAAGAAACAGCATATAATGTATACTAGTTTCTTTTTGGGGCTAATTTTTCACATTGATATTAAACTTTTAGCTATTATTATTATTATTTTTGAGGCAGAGTCTCACTCTGTAGCCCAGGCTGGAGTGCAGTGGCGCTATCTCGGCTCACTGCAAGCTCGGCCTCCCAGGTTCACACCATTCTCCTGCCTCAGCCTCCTGAGTAGCTGAGACTACAGGCACCCGCCACCACACCCGGCTAATTTTTTGTATTTTTAGTAGAGACGGGGTTTCACCATGTTAGCCAGAATGGTCTTGATCTCCTGACCTCATGATCCACCCGCCTCGGCCTCCCAAAGTGCTGGAATTACAGGCGTGAACCACCGTGCCCGGCCGTCATTATTACTTTTTAAAAAGAAAACTCCCCCTACCCCATAATATACCATTTTGTACCTCAAAATTTTACTTTGTTGATTTTTAAGAGTAATTGCTATTTTTATCTTTGAAATAAAACATTTTAGAGTAGTTTTGAAGACTTAAAAAGCTTACAATTTAGTGTTCTTGGAAATGTATAAAGTTTTCTTGAAGTATGAATAGTTTTCCAAATTATTTTACTGACCTGTTAACTCACTTCACTTGTTTTTTACTTATTTTTTTTCGTGACCTCCTAACAAGGTGAGTCCATTTAATCATCTGTGGTATAAAATGCTTCTCTAGTCACCTGTTCTCATTAAATAGTTGTAAGTAAGTTTTTTTTTTTTTTTGAGACGGAGTCTCGCTCTGCCGCCCAGGCTGGAGTGCAGTGGCCCGATTTCAGCTCACTGCAAGCTCCGCCTCCCAGGTTCACGCCATTCTCCTGCCTCAGCCTCCCGAGTAGCTGGGACTACAGGCGCCCGCCACCTCGCCCGGCTAGTTTTTTGTATTTTTTAGTAGAGACGAGGTTTCACCGTGTTAGCCAGGATGGTCTTGATCTCCTGACCTCGTGATCCGCCCATCTCGGCCTCCCAAAGTGCTGAGATTACAGGCTTGAGCCACCGCGCCCGGCCTGTAAGTAAGTTTTAAAAGCCATTATTTTAATTACTAAAAGTTGTCAAGTATGTAGTATTATGTGAGTATTTTAACTGAAAAATTAATCAGGCTTTTAAAAATTACTATTTTATTAGTTGGATTTAAATTCAGATTCTTTATATTTACTTGATTTTCCTGGAAGTTCCAAGTTTTATGAATTTGTAGCTGATAATAGGCATTACTTGTTTACCCCATCTGCACTTTGATGTGGTGTAGATGGTTTTGTGAGTTACTTGAATCATGTAACTCAGAGAATAGTATTTCCTTATACATAAAGTGACCTAACTTTTAATCAGCTCATTTATAGTATGTTGAAAATCACTGTGTGTAATGAGAGGTATTGAGAGTTTCTTGCACATGAGTATAAAGGGTTGAGAACTAGATTAGACAAAGTAGTAAGTCACAGTGCATGGCAACTTTCTGCAGGTTGGAATTACAAGACTTCTTATGTGGAATAGGAGAATTCTATTGGGAAAAAATTATTTTCTCTGACTTTAGGACTCCAGAGACACTTTTCTTAGTCATGACCAGTAATATTTTTCAAAGATTTTGGAAGGAATAAGCTCCTCACTATACCACCAGTTCGTGATTTATTTATTTATGTATTTTAGAGACAGGGCCTCCTTCTGTCACCCAGTTTGGAGTGCAGTGGTGTAATCATAGCTTACTGCAGCCTCAAACTCCTGGGCTCGTGTTCCTCCCGCCTCAGCCTCCCAAGTGGCTAGAACCTCAGCCCCATGCCACCACACTCAGCTAATTTTAAATTTTACTAATTTCATTTAATTTTTGTGGAGATGGGGGTCTCGCTGTGTTGTTTAGGCTGGTCCTGAACTCCTGGCCTCAAGCGATCCTTCTGCCTTGGCCTCTCAGCAAATTATATAGAAGAGCACTTCTGTATAATTTATTGTTTCTTCATCACATGTTTTCAACTGTTGCCCTAAATAGGTTTAAAAATGTGATCACGTTAGTAGAAAATCCTTTCCATTGAATTTCAGGGATGCTGAATTTCAGGGAGCTAAATTGTTCACCCTTGTATGTAATTGTTACTGGTTCAGAAGTAAATTTTATTGATGCTACAAGTAAAAAATTAGATCCGACTTAGTAAACTCAAAAGTTTTACATAACTATATTTTACTATGTAGATGTATTTCTTTAAAATAGGTATGGATCGATATTTTTATGAATAAATAATATTGCATTGTAGATGGAATGAAACTTTGCATTTAATTTGCCCCATAAGTAGGCTTTTTGTAGAATGAATTACTATCTCCTAAATTGTCCAATCTAAATTTTTATTGGCTACGTTAACTTAAAGCATATTCTCTCTCTTTTCTCGTCACACTTTTTTCCTTCTTCCCAGGGTCTTCCTCTCCCTCTTTCATCACCTACATTGTCCCCCTTCCTTTTCTGCTATTCTTATCGTATGTACTAGCTGTTGTTATTTATACAAATACTCATATATCCTTGCATAGCATGTTTTTAAACAAAAGATACTGTAGTGATCCTAACAGTTTACAATTTTATATTTAAAAATTATTCAGGAAATCTAGAAATCCCTGACTTTTTACACCATGCTGATCACTTGGCTCCTGTCTTTGTCCATTCTGGCTGCTATCTCAGAATACCAGAGACTGGGTAGCTTATAAGCAACAGAAATTTATTTCTTCTAAATCTGGAAGCTGGGAAATACAGTATCAAGGTGCCAGCAGATTTGGTGTCTGGTGAGGGGCCCACTCACTGGTTCATGGATGGTGTGTTCTAGCTGTGTCTTCACCTAGTGGAAGGACCGAGCTAGCTCTCTGGGACCCTTGTGACCTAATCATCCCCCAAAGGTTCCACTTCCTGATACTATACCTTGAGAATTAAGGTTTCAACATGTGAGTTTTGTGGGGACACAAACATTCAGATCATAGCAACTCCTGTACTCTACTAAAAAGCATATTAGATAAATAAGTAATCGTCCTTCAATTTTTAAGAATTATTCACTTGAGCCGAGCATGGTGGTTCATGTCTGTAATTCCAGAACTTTGGGAGGCCGAGGCGGATGAATCACGAGGTCAAGAGTTCAAGACCAGCCTGGCCAAGATGGTGAAACCTCGTCTCTACAAAAAATACAAAAATTAGCCCCGCATAGTGACAGGCAGGCACCTGTAATCCCAGCTATTCAGGAGGCTGAGGCAGAGAATTGCTTGAACCTGGGAGGCAGAGGTTGCAGTGAGCTGAGATGTGCCACTGCACTCTAGCTTGGGTGGCAGAGCGAGCCAATGTCTCAAAAA